GCTGCTAATATTTTAATATTATTATTGTTTCACCCAGGAGTAAAATAACATGGTCAAGTTCAATTTCTTAAGTGTTGAAATGTCTTCTACACGAGAATAAAAACGCAGCCTTGTCATTACTATAACATTTGGAAACACAACTGTCAATTGGTAAATGAAGTATTCAAGTGAGTTAACTATGTGCAGGCATGGCTTTGTTAAATACGTACATTTGAGGGTTTTCAACCTGCATACCCATAGGACCTGCAACACGGATTAATGCCTGCAAGAAGTCTTGTGCTTTTGGACCATCTCTACGTGAAAACAGTAACATCCAACTGTGCATACCCACACATGATATCAGTGTATTACCACGCATTTCACGGGACCAATCAGCTGAAGCAGGGTTGTAGTTGTACTACAGAAGTTGAAAACAAAAGATGTAATTAATCTCAGTGATATATTGTGCATATGAGAGTGTACATATGGGTGTGAATTTTACTTTTGTCAACTGGATCGGCACGAAATTTACAGCATTGCAGATAATGTGTAATTATAAATAACATCTATTGTTTAAAGAGTATATGGATCATGGATGCAGTTGAGAAACTGTTCAAAAAAAAAAAAAAAAAAAACTTGTGTGTATGAGAATTTAATTTTAAAAGGTCTTACATTGGTTGATTTCTGGTATATCTTCTCAGAGGGAAGAACTCTGCCATTGAAACGTAGTAATTTCTCATCAAATTGCAAACCCCAATTCAGAAGCTCTTCGGAAGCCTCTTTGTTAGACTGTATGGTCTGCATAAAACGTTGCAAGGTACCCTCACGTTGACTTGGTGAAACGCGCGTGTGTACAGCAATGTCCCTCATGATACTGAAGTCAGAACGTACATCGTCTGTTAAACCGGTTAATGTACACAACTCTGGAATCAGATGAATAGGTCCCATACCACGTTTTGCATCCTATAAAATATAAAGAAATACACAAACTCGATGCAGTCAGATACTCAGAGATTTCATATTGTATCAAGAAAAGAAATCTTTTGATACAGAGGTACTTAAGTCTATTGCTGTCCACTTTGTCTAAATTCACGTCTAATTGCACCACCAATTTCCTCTTTTCCTCACAAATTCACGAAATAGTCTCGTTTATAGTCTGCACTTTCCTTCAGGAGATTTGAACAAAAACTTAATATTGACTCAAATTTTGTCTGTTGGCTCCAAAATTAGGGTTCATTTTCAGAAATATTGTAGAAAATGTGAAAAAAGTGCAGAAAACATTGGGCGGGCGGAAAAGTCTGGTGGTGAAAAGTTAAATAATGTTCAATTCTGTGTTAACAACTTTGTAACTACTGGGATTAATTAATTCACATGTTTTACGTGTTCTACTATGAAAAATACTCAGTTTTACGACAAAAGGATTTCAAAAATGCACAAAAGTAATAAGTCATCATACAAGTGATGTAGTCATATGCCTATGGTATAGTTTTACTTTCCACAATATGGGCAGCAGTGGCAATGTATTAAAATGTGCCAAATATCATCTCCAGTGTTAGGTAAAAAGTGTAAATGTTATAGCTGCAGACTTTACAATGAATGAAATGAGATCACCTCCAGAGTTAATTAAGTGAATGTTATTTATAAAATTTAAAGGTCTTGCACTAAACTAACCCTCTTCTTTGGTAAGCTTATTAACAAAGGTTGATCCAGGTCCCTGATGTTCTTTTCGTAAGCCTTTGCATAGTACTCCACGTAAGTCAACTCATTGCCGTCAGAAGTAGAGAATTTGAAATTAGGGTTTCTGTTCCAGTCAATATCATCAATACGGTAAGTCTTGTTATTGTATCTGAGAAATAGAATTGTGAATTAATTGTTGGATTACAATTCGTGAATCAAATTAGATCCAGTTTGAAGTCTTCTAACTCATTGATAAATAGTAATGTTCACCTTGTCAGCACTATTTCACCAACCAACTTTTTAGAAGCATCGTCATGGAAATTACGTTGTCCTCGTTCATATAATTCATAGAGTAGATCCAATACAGTGTCTTGTCTGAGAATTTTGTGAGATACGTCAGCACACAGCATTACATTGGTTTCATACTGCAGGATGGATGTAATGAAACCAGGCCACAACTCCAGTCTGTAAATAACAATGTCATCTATGAGAAGACATGCACATGGTGGCTTGCCACTAACAAGTTAAGTAAAATTCAACAAATTCACTCTCTTTCACATGAATTGTCTTCGTGCCTTAAAATTTCAATCAAGTTTTAGATAAGACAGCACAAGTTTTCAAAACTGACCATCAGGGGATTGTTGATTAAAATACGAAAAACAAATGGACAATATTTAGTCTAAGAGTGCACTCGGATGGCATGGCACATAACCCTACTCCCAAGTCCTTGATTCTGAACTTGCACTAAAACGCAGTTTGTGGGAAGCGGAAAACAACAAGCAGGCTGAGAAAGCTCAACTGTTAGCAATGCACATTTCAATTATAGAATTGAAAATATCATTGCAAATCAACAAATCTGAAATCGGTTCACATGAGGTATCTATATGTATAATATCAAAGCAATCAGACTTGTGGTTTTTAACAAGAAGTCAAAAATATAAACTTTTACCAAAAATGACAAAAATATTCATTAATATTAGAGAATTGAAGATATCATCATGAAATGAACAAATCTAAGTGAGTTCTACGCAATGTACATATACACAAAGTATCAAACACGGACACAGACAATGTCAGACAGTCACTCATATTATAAGCTCCGCTCAACAAAGTCGACAGCCGAGCTAAAAAGAGACAGGGCATTTGAGATTTAAATTACTAAAGCACTTGATAATTATTTTACATTTGATGTGAAAGAATACTGAAGAAAACACAATAATTGCAGCTACTTACTTATGCTTTGGAATCCTTGCAGGATCCAAGGGATTGTAGTAATTACGTCCTATCTGTTTCATATCAATCTTGTACAGAATCCTAAAATAAACAAGTTACATGACAAATAAATAGTAAACAAAACAGAACATTTGATGTATAGTGTAGTTGTAAAGCGACTGCAATCAGTCAATGTACATCAGAGACATGGCTCTTAAACAGCATTGTATGATGTATGTGTGAAGTTTGAGTGTGATCGGCCAAAGCATGTCCAAGTGGGAGACTTATGCCCCAAAGGTCAACCCACAAGTCCTCATTGTTGGACTTGGTCTGATCGAGTATTAAGATTATCAATTTATACAAAGCTTAGCTTGATTAATTACCAAATCAAAGTACTCTACACGGGTCACACTTCATCACAAAAGGTCCATACAGGATGTGAAAAAAAATTTGAAAATTATAAATATCTCAATAATTGTTCATAGGGTTAGAAAGATTCTCGCCATCACAGAATTTTCCACTACACTCCAAACATACACCAACAAAAACCTGCATTTGGATTTGAATATTCAGAAACAAACGTCATAAAAACCAAATGACCAGTCAGTTTGCTTTTACCAGTAGACTGATTTTTCTCCCCACCTGCAATGAAAGGTAGGTATTCTCTTTGGCATATTTTCTACTGTTAACTATAATGTTGGTGTAATTTACCATTGCTTTCTAGTCAAAGTAATTGTAGTATGCGTTCATGTACTGTAAAATACTTTATTTTCGCTTGGAATTAATTTTCGCTAAAGAAATGATTCAGTGAAAATAAAACCCAGCGAATATACCTTTCTATATTTTACATTCCATTTGTCAAAGATAAGTGAAAATAAATTCCGTATAAAACACCCAAAAAGTCTTTTTAGCGAAAATTAATTCCAGCTAAAATAAAGTATTTCTTACTATGAATGAATCCCAAGTGTTTTGAAACGTGTCAGCAATTGGTGAAAGGTCCTTCACCAGCAACTGTCAAGGATTCAGAGAAATCACAGCAAAGTTTAGAATAGAATAGACAATGATGTGACATTTCTTTTTTGGTTAAGTAGTTAAAATAAAGTTTTTATATAGTTGAGCAATCATAAAACTATCCGTGAATATTAAAGGTGTGACAATTCACATACCTGGTACGTAAGAATATGGCAGAAGTACCGGTAGTTTATATTGTATTCCTTATGTTGTAAGGGAAGAGTAGGAAATCAAACTCGCGGTTTACTGCGGTCATTACCGCGGTGGTGGTGGGTGCTCGCCGGTCGACCGCATTTTATGCAAATTTATGCATAGATTCCATGACCCCGGTTTACCGCGGTCGTGTGCGGTCGGCTCGCATGGCAATTTACACCCTATTGTTAAGACTATGAATGGACACAA